GTCCAGCTCTGGAGCCCTCAGCACAAGAAGGACATGGAAGTGTTGGAGCGGGTCCAGAGGAGGGCTACAAAAATGATCCGGGGGCTGGAGGACAGGCTGAGGGAGTTGGGCTTGTTCAGCCTGGAGAAGAGAAGGCTGCGGGGAGACCTGATTGCGGCCTTTCAATACCTAAAGGGGGCCCATAGGAAAGATGGGGAAAATCTTTTTAGTAGGGCCAGCAGTGACAAGACAAGGGGTAATGGTTTTAAACTAAACCAGGGTAGGTTTAGACTGGATATAAGGAAGAAGTTCTTTACAATGAGGGTGGTGAAACACTGGAACAGGTTGTGCAGAGAGGTAGTGGAGGCCCCATCCCTGGAAACATTCAAGGCCAGGTTGGACGGGGCTCTGAGCAGCCTGATCTAGTTAGCGGTGTCCCTGCTCCTGCGGGGGGGTTAGACTAGATGACCTCTAGGGGTCCCTTCCAACCCAAAACATTCTATGATTCTATGATAGTGGAATTGCTTACTGGTTTTTTGTTGTTTGGTTTTTGTTTTTGGTTTTTTTTTTTTCCTAGTTGGCAAAGTACTTTTTAAAGTTCCTGAAGTCTGAAGATGGGTCTTTTAAAGAAACAGGGAGAGGTGTTCTCTTTTAAAATTAAACAGTTAGAAACAGTCATCTATCTCAAGAGGAGCCTGGGATTCAGTTCCACAAAAAATGAGAGTTTTATTGAGATGGGACCCTGAAAAAAATACTCTTACTTCTGTCATAATACATAACAAGAAAAAACATGAAAACAAAGCTACTGTATTTGAAAATGACTAAGGGTTTGAAGTTACAAATAACAAAACCTTAGCGTTAATTCACAGTGCATCCATAATCTGTGCACAACTATGCTGCTTCATGCCTTGTCTGTGTGTTAGCTTTTCATGTTTGAAGTTCTTTTAAATTCAACTTTTTTCTGATTTTTCTGAATTTATAGTTCTTGGGCTTGAAGTGATCAAAACATTCCGTAATGCTTTATCTTAAATTATTATTCTGGTATTTATTTTAATTTCATTTTAGCTAGGATCACCCCTTTTCATGGCTAGAAATAATGACTGGACTATACACTTACTCATGCTTTACTTTCAGTACTGTTATAAAGAAGTATCGTATTGTTTACTGTGGTGGTATTTTTCTCTAAAATAAGAGTTTTCTTCCCCATATAACTGAATTATTAGATGTTTTGACTTACTGTATTTTAAATAGTACTTTGCCTTAATATGCTTTAAAAGATTGAATTCTAAACAGTATGTACAACTGAAATTAGCTCTGATCTGAAAATCCGGTTTAGGAGAATTTGTATTTAGCAAACTTTCAGTCTGCATGTTTATGCAATGAAACTACATTCTCGGCTACTGTATCAACTGAAAGGCAGCATAATAAATTCCACGTGATTTTAAAAAATGGAGATACTTAGAAATTGAGTGTAAAAGATCATAGGTTATTTCATAATGTTAGATTCCTGACTTATGTGCAAAAGCTCTACCGAATGCCTCAATAAGTGATTTTTTAGTATGTAAGCTATTTGTATAACCAGTCCCTCCTTGCCTCTGTTTTCATGTTTTGCCTTTTCAGTAATGCTTCTGGATTCCAAAAATAGTCAAGGTTTGAAAAGGTTGAACTGGTTGATTTGTTAATTGAAAGCAAAATGTGAAGTTGCGTATGTCACAAATGGGGTGGAGTACTGAAAGATACTTTTTGTCCTGTTCTTAAATTCTGCCATTGTTTAACTTCTAAACTTGTATTTATGACAAAATAATTTGTTACCTATTCTTTGTTTTGTACTCTGCAATGGACAATGGGAACTTAAGCATTTGTGAGATCAGATATTTTTTTAATCTCTGTCATGAAAAACCTCTGCAACTCTGTAGTGTGGTGTGAAAGACAGTCAAATAGGATTTATTCGTAGAAGATGTGAACTATTATAATTTTTGTTCACATATGCCGTAACTTTTGAGGAAAAAAAAACTGCTAAAGAGAAATCCTAAGATTATTAGTCTGTAAGTTATAAGTATTTTATTACACTTCAACATTTTCATATCTTGATAGAATGAACTGTCTCTTATCATTCTGAAATCTTTTGTTATCTGAGGAAAAAATAATTTTTGCTACCCAGCCTTTGTGATTGAATGGTGACTTATTAGTTGGGTACATCAGGTATATAGCCTGAGATTTATCATGAAAGAAATAGTTTTCCTACCTCATTTACTCATGAATTTTGCTATTTCTTCACATTAATGTTACTGTTATTAACAAGACATGATAATTCTTGTCCAAGTTCAAAGAATTTAATTGTAGTAGACTTCTGATACGTCCAAATATGTATGACTTTTTATGCTATTTTAAAAAGGGACAATTAATGATTTGCTTTTCAATTATGCAAATGTTTTGATACCCTCAATATTTGAGGCATCTTTGCTGAAAGGAAAGAATGTGCATTTCTTTATTTCTTTAACTAAGCCTGTATGTAAATGGAAGATAAAGTAATATATTGTTGGCAGCAGATTAGGGATGCTATCCTACTAGGAGGTATTTATTTTAAATTATTGATGAATCCTGGAATATTTGTCTTACTGAGAACAAGTGATTGTGTCTGTGAGTAGCATAATACCAAAGCAGGTCTAAGGCCATTGCTGCCTTCTGAAATTCTGCTCTAGATATTGCTGTAATATTTCTATTTCCATTCTTGCCTCAAAACACACTGGGAGAATAGTCATATGAAGCTTCTTAAGGAGTGAAGTACTCTTCTAATCTGCTAAACCTCCAGACAACTCCAGTAAGGTCACTATGTAGAGATCGAAGTCTTGCTTGAGTAAGCGTCCTTGCTCTATTTCCCAGATATATCTTCACACTTTGCTGACTAATTTCTACAGTAAGGCTTACTGTAAAAGGCAAACTATTGTTTGTTTACATTGTCTTCAATGAGTATTTCCAGAATTTTTTTGTACACTATTTCTTTTCCTGAAGACACTATTCCTTGCACTGAATTAGAAGTGGAAAATCAGAGCAGATTTAAAAAGCAGTTGCGAAAATGAATCTGTATCCATGATTCTTAGTTCATGTGTGCAATATTGTGCAATTTTGGAGAACTTAAAGTAATGAATGCATAGGTGTTTTTTCTTAGCAGTATTTTTTTTTTTCTGTTTGATATCCATACAGAAAACAAGGCTTAATAAGTTTAATCAGTTCAGTAGTTAAATAGTGTATTACTGCTTTGTAAAGATTTGATTCAGGATTCTCCTTCCACATGCAGCAAACAAACGAATTAGGGAAAACTTCCTGCAGTACAGAATAGGTGGTGACCTAAAATTTGAAATATACCTTTTTTTCTGGTATTTCACAATTTTCATACACACACACACGTGCACATATACATATATATATTTGCTTAGACTGCAATAAATATATGCAGGTATGATATGCACATCCATATGTCTATATACGTAGATAACAGGCATAGTAGATTTTAACTCTTTCTTACACATTATCTATAATACATTTCAAATGCTTTCTTTGCAGAATTTGGAAACTGATTTAGCAGAGGCAAGAGAACAAATGAAAGAGTTGCGCAGTATATGCAGTAACTTGTCATCTCAGTTAGCTGTGAAACAGGAAGAACTCTCCCAAAAGGATTGTGATGTGATCAGAGCTAAGTGAGTATTTCAGGATTTCATTACCTTTAAGTCTGAATCTTCTTAAAAAGGCTATTGTTCCACTTATAAACTAGTATCTTGTATCAGAAGTATTCTTGTGCAACAGTGTATTTTCATACCATTCTGTTCCACAATATGTAAAGCTTTTGGAAGTCTACCGGTAGATGACAGTTTATGTAGACTCTCCCTGATCTATTTTGTGTCTTAGTATATTATCAGTTTTTGAGTAGGGTTGGACTTTAAAAATTACACTTCCGTAATTAGCATTGGGTCAGAGAACTACCAATCTCCACTGAAACTAACAAAATAACAATATGATTAGTGACATAAACATTTAATTGGAGAGGCTAAATGCCGTACACTTGGAAAAGCTTTAAGCCTAACTTTGACTTTTTAATTAGAGTAAAATCTGACAAGTCAGCAAAAGTCTACATAGGCCTGTGCTAAAGGTTTAAAGTGCAGTGATTTAAGCTTTATCTTAGGTCTCACACACCATTTCTTTATACTAAATCTGTATGATTAGTGCTGCATTATTTCAGTTGTGGAAAACAAATGAACGATGGAATGCATTTTATGAATTGACTAGACTACTGAATTCCTCAAAATGAAGATAATGGCAGAAGACAATTGCTAACTTTAAGTGGATTGCCAGGAAATGGTTCATTTTTCACTTCTTAGTTTCAGAGGCATGCACAGTGTTTATCACTCCTGTGTTAGGCAAATAATATTCCCTTCAGTATTCCCTCAAACTGTGGTTATGCCTGAAGAGCTGTAGTTGGGATGCAGAAATCATTGGCATGGACACTCCTCTTTGCTTTCCAAGCAGAAATAATTTTACTGTAGGGAGTCAGTATCTAGGTCTTTCGGGGGAAAATACTAGAAGTATGATTTTTCATGCCTCTGACCTAAATTTTCATCCTACTATTTGTCAAAATCTTTACAGGAAAAATGATGTCTTGTTATTTTCATGTTTAAAGGTATAATTGTTGGGTTTTCAAAAGTCAGGAAAAATACGCAGGTTTAATTGGAAGTTTTGCTGAAAAAATTAATCAATGGACTTATTATTTTCTGAAATTATTCTCAGAAATATATAAATGTTTGAGAGGACTAGAGACAGCAAAGATATTATTTTTAAAGTCAGGTAGTCAAGGTATGCAAAGTTATTGCTTGTTGGTTACGGTTTAGTGTATTGCAGACTGAGGCCAAATCATTGAATTTAAAATTTCTCAAATTGTATTCTTTGCTACTCATTGCAAAACAGCCTCTTAGAATTTGTCACAGACGTCTTGTTTAAATATGTAATTAAGATAAGTACTTTTTTGAACATAAGGTCTGAACCTGTGGTAATAGAAAGATGGACAGCATACTTATTTTGAAGTGTTTGAAGTCTTTTTCTGTATGTTTTTCCATACAACCAACCTCCTAAATTTTTGGAAAAGAGTTTGACAAACCGATCACACATGTTTTACTGTGTGCTCAAATGTTATCTTTCCTAGATACTTAACTGGTATCGCGATGAATGGTAGTATTTGTCCATATCACTAGTATGGGAATTATACTTGACAGGTTATATATAAGTATCATTAGTATCATCAGTATTGTTGTAGTTCAATGTCTGTTAATCTTTATTAATGAACTGTCTTTGGATACAAGTTTCTTGTTGACATTTCTATTATGAAAAAAGAAGGCTTATGCTAAATGATTTATATAATATAAAATTCACAGTTTCAGGCAGTAGTTGCAGTAGTTAGCAATACAAACTAAGAATTTCAAATATTCTGTATTTTTTGTAGTACAGAATACTAAAGTTTCTCTTTACCTTCCCAAGGTGTCAGTACATAGATAAAACTTTTTCTATTGGTTCTTATTGAAAAAAAAAAAAAAGTGAAAATAATAAAAGTCAATGTAGACAAAAAACAAACTCTCACTTAACTTAAAGAAAGCAAAAACTCCAGAATTAAAGGAAAAAAGCTGAGGAGAAAATAAAGTCTTTACATCTTCTCATCTTCTTAGGCCAAGATCTTAGAACTGTATTGATGCCACAATTGAAGCATTTGGTTGTTCCTTTCTTTTTACCTGATAATTTTTTTTTACTTCTCCTTGTTAAAGACTTAGTGTTATAAAAGTATCAGATTGAATGCTCAGTTTTCCTTTAATGCTGGCAGAAAGTTCTTTGACAAATAGTGTGGAAAATACCCCATCTCCCTTACTGTCTCCAGTTTCCCATCATCAATTTCAAACTTTTGGAGCTGAAAAAGACAATCTGATTTGCAAATCTCTCTGTTCTCCCCACTGCTCTCTTCCCCACCCCCCGTCTGCTGCCTGCCTGCCTTTCTCACCCTCCCCTTTTTTGAAAACAGACCAGGAGCACAGTTGTAATTATTAGAAACAACCTCTAGAGGAAGAAAGGAAAGAAACATGCTTCCTTCACTTGGTGTCATCTCTCATATGAAGTGTAAGCAGATCCATAAAAATACTCTTTCAGCTGACACCTTGGTAATACTGTCTGAAATTTTTACAGTGGATGCTAAAAAAAAGAAAAGTCTCTAAGGGTCTATGTGCAAGCTGGTCTGGTGCTCTGTTTCTTGTGCGATCGTATCTTCTTGCTCTGTTCTGCATATCTGTCAGTTTGTTAGCAAGAGGGTTTTTTTCACTTTAACAGTAACTATGTCTGTAGACACTACAAGAACAGTTTTCTTTAAGGGGCAGTCTTTTTCAGCAAATTAGCAGAGACCAAAATGTTGAAGTACTCCAGTCTAACTCTGGTCCTATACAACAGCAGGTGTTTTTGAAAATCCCACCCAGTGTCTGTAACAGTCTGTCACATACTTCTGAGATGTGGAAGATAAATTTTCTAAGACCAGTGAACAGACAGTATTTACAGGATCCATCCTGCACAGCAGATGACTTCAAGAAGCCTCCACCTTTTTTTGCTGGCTTTATTTTTGCAAAGCACTCTTGGTCTCACTGGGTGTCATTTCAAACTCCTGATATAGCTGTGAAATGCATTTCCTTGTTATATTTCTTGTTTGCATTCAGTACAGATTTTCTGGACCTGTTTAGAGTCCCTGGTAGCATTTCCATTTTCATGTTCCTGAAGAATGTTAAATCTTGCTGTTTGTTCCTGAAGATTAACTCCAATGCATCTCTGCGATTTTTGGGTTTTTTTAAATTATGCTAAATATCAGGATTTAGAACTTTGCGTTTACTGCTGAACACTCAGTGGTCTGTGTCTCACTGGCACGGAGTTCTGATGGAACTCTGAACATCAGACTGGAGAGGTTTGCTTGACTCACTGAGACTTGAGCCTTGCTGTCACAGGTATCCAGGAAATATTAAATTGTTTGTGAATATAGTAAGCTCTATTCTAAAATGAATTAGAATGTCTTCCCCCTGTTCTTACTAGAAGCATGTACCAGGACTTCATTCCTTTGATTAGTTTCTAGTCCAAATCTATCCCTGATCATTTTACAATCACT